GAAGAAAATGTACAATAATGATATAACTTTAAGGATCTCTTGTAACATGAATTAAGATTTATATTCTTAATATCTTTCAGGAGAATATCTTGTAAACTTGCATTCTCATCCAACAGATTATCAATGGCTATCTAATTCCAAATCTCATTACCTTAGCCACGTCAGCAGAATCTCATCCTGCTAAGGGCTGAGATCTACTAACTACTATTTAGAGCTGGGACTCTGGTTTCTGCTGTGATGTTTTTATCCAGGATAGAATAAAACAATATGGGGCTTGTGGAAACATCAGGATGTTAGTAATAGTAACACAACAACAACAATAACACATCTTTGAGCGCTTACTCCCTATCGGGAATGTGTTAACTGCCTTCCGTGTGTCTTCTCATTCATGCTCACTACATTCTTATTATCAGTATCATTTTCAGATGAGAAAATGCTTTAGAGAAGATAACTTCAGAGTTTACAATATCAAACACATTAATTATCAGAGGGCGGATTGAAACTAAAATTTTTCTTTTTTTTAAGTTTATTGGGGTAACATTGGTTAATACAATTATATAGTTTTGGAGCATACATTATAATTTGACATCTATATATTCTGTTGTGTGATTACCACCCAGAGTCCAGTTTCCTTCAGCTACCATATATTTGATCCCCTTTACCCTGTACCTCCCCCTTCTCCCCCACCCTCTACCCTCTGGTAACCACTAGTCCACATCCCTGAGTCTCTGTTTGTAAAACTAAAATTTTTCTGACTCTACATCCTGCTTTGTGATCTGTGCTGTATTGTCTTAACATTAAGGGGTATTATTCCAAGATGATTAATGTTTCCAGTGAGAAGAGAAAATTATGTGGTGTCAGTTGGCTGGAAGTGACCCTGGGGAACAAAATCACCCAGCTCATCCCCTTCATCCATGAAGAGTGCCCATGTGGAAGAGATTGAAATGAGAGGAGTCTGTAATCAGTGTGAGAGAAGCAATGTTTAGTAAAGAAATTGGTTGAAAGAATGAAGTTTGAAGGCATAGGAGAGGAACTTGACCCTAATGGATTGAAAGTCCATGAGGGGCCAATTTTTATAAGAGCTATTGGCATGAATAGCAGTGAGTGTTCAGGAAGTTGTCTCGAAGGCACTCCCCCTTCCTCCCCCAACACCTCACGGGGACAGGCGTACCTAATATGGGCAGGGAACTGGTGGTCTGGAGATTTTGGAGGCCCATGTGAGTGCCTTGAACAAGAGGTGCTCTTGCACTTCTCAAGAAAATCATCACGGGGGGCAATTGGAAGTTGAGTTCATAGCCATGAACTTCCACTCTGTACAAGGAGCTCAATCTCGATGTTTCAGAGGAAATGAGTGGGAAGGTGACAGGTTAAGGTCACCGCCCACTTTCAAAGGTAGTTCACAGATTGCTGAGTTCCTTTGGGATCCTTGAGAGGTTCCATGAAGTCAGCTTCAGAACCCCTAATATAGAGCTTAAATCAGTATAAGAATAGCTTTTGGTAGATGTTGGCGCAGAGGTAAATTTATTTTTACCCAGGTTATTAGTCTCTTCTATGCTCTACTAACTTTCTTGGCAAAATTTAATTTTAGAAAGCTAATGGCAGAGCTATTCCCCAGACTCCAAAGAACACCTTTGTCATTCTCTACTTCCAGTCAGCCATTAATGAGACACTAATATATTTTGACATAAAGGGACTCGACTGAATGACTTGGCTTTTATTTCATCTTAGTGTACTTTTCCTCTTCCATGTTCTAGTTGTCTATTTTCATGTTATTGATTGGCCCGTAAAATACCAGGTGGGAGAAGATGCAAGAGAATCATGACACCAGCCAGGCTAGATGATACTCCCCCAGCAAAAACCCAGCAGCTTGTCAGCATGTCTGGGGAGGTTTCCTGTATGTGCCTTAAACTTCTCCCAACACCTGCCGTTAGCAGATGCTATGGTTTATTAGGCAGAACCTTATCTAGGACAGGACTCTTCAGAATAATAATTATACTGATAACAGATAATGTCTGTTGGGTACTTACAATGTGCTAGACAATTTTTTTCTAAGCACATCACCTGTACTGACTCATTTGATTCTTATAATATCCCTATGATAATCCTGGCAAATACTGTTATTATCCCTTTACCCATGAAGAAACTGAAGCACAGTTTCCTGATTAACTGCTAAGTGGAAGAACAGTACTTCAGATCCAGGTGATCTGACTTGGAGTCTGAGCTCTCACATCACTGAGCTGCCTCCCATAGCTACTGTGTACACCAGGCTTACACTATTCAAAGGGGTTTTCCGTCACGGGCTGTATGATTGATGCTCTGAAATTTGTGGGTGGGCCTCATCTGGGGCAACATTTGACAGCAGGCCAAACACGAGCTGCCACAGTTAGAAAACTGGGATTAAGCAAGCCGATGCTGGTGGGAAGGTGGGGTGCATTGTTGGCGGAAGATGGAGGGCTGAGAGCAGGATAGGGGATGTGGTGGAAGGCAGAAGGCGGATGGCTACTGAGAGTCTTCATTTTCTTCCATCTTGTTTAGCTGGTCATTCTGGGGATGAAGTGAGATAATGTGTGAATTCATTTGGAATCCAAAAGTTCTGTTCCCATGACAGTTCCTGTTGTACATCCATGGTGTGCCACCTGTAGGTCAGGTGGGAGGCCATGGTTCAGGAGGCAGCAGTATGTGGTGGGCACAGATGAGAAGCTGGGAGTTAGAAATGTGTGGACATGGAGCGGGCACTGATGGATTTGAGGAAGGGGGTACACACTGGTTAGCCACTGAGGAGCTCCCTGGAGGAGAGGGTACAGTAACTGGTCTGCAGTCATTCTGTGAATCTTATTTCCCACTATACTGCTACTGCTCTAGCCAGGCTTAGTCTTGATACCTCCAGGCCACTGGAGGAGACCAGAGCTCACTACTAGTAGATCTGCTGTCATCTCAATTATCGTTCAGGGAGAGATCTTTCAACCTCTCTCCTCCTAGGCTCCCATTACAGAGTGTGATAGCCCACTATATCCTATGGATTCAGTTACTCTATTATCCGCTATGCTTGCAGGAAAATATTTGCTAATTATAGTCTATGCAGGTCACCGGGGTAAACTTGAAAATAAAAAGATTGGACTCTTCTTAGTTTTAGGATAAGCATTTGATATAACTATTGTCACGGTCACTGTTAATCGCTGAAATTCTTTCCTATCTACTCACATCTTATACCTAACACTGCTATAATTCCTATTTTTACTCTTATCCTTATTTACATATTAACATACTTTTAAAATAATTATATTATTTTTCTAAAAACATTGATACTCAATGTAAAAGAATCTTGAAATCCCATCATGTGGAGATAGCCACTTGGGACCAGCTTGTTAAACTCTGTCTCCAGACATTTCTCTACATATACGGACTCCAAGGTTTCACAGTTGACATGAGGAGATTATGCCATAGATAATTTTCCATAACTTTTTTCACTTAACAGTATGTTGTAGTCAGACGTCCCTCTACATAAGTGTAGATCTACATATTCATTTGTAATATTTGCCCAGCTTTCTCTTGTTTGAATATACCACAGTTTACTTAACCACGCCCCCGTTGATGGTTTATTGATAAAGAAAAGAATCTGAGTGCCATATAGAGATCATCTGACTCTGTTAATCTAGGCTCTGTGACTTTGCCATCAAATCCATGGGATTTTTGGCACCGTATAACATAAAGGAGCATGTGGTTGGATGTATAATTGTTATTTGGGGGATGAGTAGAGTGGGAGTCTATGTGGAAGAAGTTAATATACTTGGCCCTAAAATGAGGTTTGAGACAAGAGAATTAGATTACATTATTTTTTTTCTCTCCTTCTTCCAGAGTTGCAATGAAATTAAATGCACATGTGTGGGTGTGTGTGTTCAAGTGGGAGAAGCAGTATCTTGACAATATTTTATTGTCCTTCTAGTCATCATTTTTTTCTTCCCTCCCTCCCTCCCTCCCTCCCTTCCTTCCTTCCTTCCTTCCTTCCCTGAAATGAATTGAGGAGTGAGGCCATTCTCTCTGCTGTAGTCAATGGTGACTTTTATCTCATAATATGAGAAAAGAGAAGCAATCCTTTATTTGAGAAAATTCTCTGAGCCAATGAAATCTGAGTGTGAGATAATGTTCAAGGACAGGTGGGGATTGTGTTATATTAATAATTTGAAGAAATGTGTTGACCCATAGTGGTGATGATGAAAATTAAATTGTTTTACTCAACTAATGCCCATAATTAAACTATTTTAAAAATATTACTTAAGAGCATCCAGGTGTAAAGACATTGTGAAAACGAACAGGATGCTTCAGAGAGTTTGGTACTACCCCTGCTATTATTTAATATTCTGAATGAGTTTGGATTGAATTCTTTTGAAAGGAATTACATACTTCATTCCCTTCCTAAAGAAAGTACATTATGCAAATCTAAGGTTTTTTTCTTCATTTTGGGTGTTCACAGGCACCATCACAGTCAGCATTTATTGTAACATGTTCTGCCTGAGAAGGGCTCACAGAGACTTTTGGGGTGTAGAGAGCTAATTCATCCTCGGCCCTGTGTTTTCTGGATTCTTGGTCTGCTTTTTATAGTTTTTCTGTCTCTTCTGAGGGCCAAGCCACCATGTTTGGCTGTCATGGCATATTTCTTTATAGCTCTGTGACACTTCTCACTGCATGTAATTTATTGTGGAACTAAACATATAATCATATTAGAATTTTTAATAAGTTAATAGCAATCATGATATGAATGGTCTCCAGAAGCTTTCTCCGCTTATTTCCTTGTTCTTACCTAAATGTCAGAATCTTGAGGCTTCTGGGGAAATGTTCTCCAGATAATTGCTGTAGTCTGGTAAAGAGCCCACAGTTCTGGTTCGAATGTGAACTTCCTCTTCCACGCATGAGGAGAGGAAGTCACCGTTAGCCCCGCCAGGCGCATGACCCCCAGCGCCACTCTCTTATCCATGTCTGACTTCGCGGTTCTTGTTTTGCAGTCCCCAGTCTGTCCCAGACCGCCTGAGGATCCGGGTGAACAAAATCAGTTTGCAAGATTACGAAGGATTCCACTACGACAAAGAGAAGCTCCGGGAAGCTTGTAAGTGGGAAGTGACTGATTGATTTCATGTGATCGGCCTATCATTGGCTTCTTGATCCTCCTTGGTTGGATGGATAGATTCGTCTTGTGTCTAAAAACTATGGTTAGAGAAACGAAGGGAAAGTTAGTAACGTGGGAACCCCAAGTGATGATATGTGGGCTGGAGAAAATGGAACTGGAAAAGGAAAGCAGCCAAACAAAATTATTCTGCTCAAGATGCCAAGTTAGGATCTCTTGGTTTATTAACACTTTAGTCTCGGGTTTACCTAAAGTGAGAAAGTAGAAGGTAAAGTTGGTGGCATCACATGGTATAGTAATAGCTAGAAAACTCTTGAGACAGCATTTGTCTCTCCCTGGAGCTGGCAGTACCAAATACTGTCCTTATTCTTCATGCAGCTGTGACAAAGTCATCTGTGAAGACATGTCCAACACTTCTAGCTATTCTGTGATCGTATGATGTCAAGGAATGGCCCTCGGGATACTCAAATGTCATGATAAGTGGCATTCATTGATGATGAGGCACCATTGTTTCTGAAATCTTAAATTGAGTCAACGTGAATGATTTCTCGATGTGCATATTTTCCATATACTTCTTTAAATACAGAACAGATTTGTAGTTTACCCACATGCCATTCAGTATTTATTGGGCACTTTTTACATTCCAGTCACTATTTTAGATCCCTGTCTATGTTATGATATATGAGATAACTGGGTAGAGTAGGCCAGGAGATGTTAAGACTGCAGGTGTGTTAAATATTAGGGTCCCATGCTCCTTCATAATTGCAAGGGCCAATAGTCAAGTGCAATAAAGTCGGAGAAGGTCAGGGCCATTGTCCAAGGGTACAGGCAGGGACACCGATAGACAGGCATTTCATACAGAACCAGAGGTGTATGAACTAAGGCTCCACACTGGCTTTATGCGTGGGCCTGCCTGGAATTGTAGAAGATGCAGATTGGTGAAACTGGCAGGAATGGAGGAAGGGATGCGTTCCTGGGATGATGACTTTCAAGCTCCGATTCTTGGACCTGTGATCTGGAGTGGGGTTCAGTGGATGGAAATCCTGAAATCCAGGGACAGTCTTGGGGGTGGGCGGCCGTGAGTCAAGATCCGTTTCGGCGGCTGTCCAGTCCCTGAGCCCACCAGGGAATTCCGTGGGAAATGACAGCTTCTTCCGTTCTCTCTGCTGCTTTGGCTCCCTCAACACTCTTGGTTTTTTCCCCGTAAACATCCATACTCTTTAGTTTCTCCCCAGCCTTAACACTTTGTCCTTCACTCTCATTTCCTTTGGCAGGAAAGTTCGAGGTGGAAGAGTAGCAAAAAGCAGAAAACCTCTGCTTTTCTCCCTCCATAGATGACATTATATTTTCTAATGTAAATGACCTTATAAGTACAGACTAGCAGAAAATCTAATTTAGCTCATAGCGTGATGGACATATATGTTTGCAATGGGAGATGTAGCTACGATGTCAATGAAACTGACTTTTAGAGGTTACTGATTATAAAGAATAGTGTATTATGTTCTTTCTCGTTTCAAACTTCTAAACTAATAGCTTAAAATTTTTGAAAACTAGAAAAAGAGAACGGATCTCGTGTTTGTGATATTTGCAGCTTACCATCGACTCTGAAGAAAGTCAGTTGAGAGTGGGGAAGCATTAGGAATTTGGGGCCGAAATGAGATTTGAGGCTTATCTGTGGATTTCAGCGATCTATCTTTCTTGTGCATTATCCATCCACCATTGCCAGCGGTAGTTGTGATTTGCATTTTTGCAGGAGGATAACATTTCCTGGCAGATGCTTTATCCATCACATCTTATGGGATAACTTCTTTGTGAAGAAATTTCCCATATCAAATTGGGGGAGGTAACGATATAAATATAAATCCAATAAATTTCAGCATTGTCTTCCATACCCAAAAGAACGAAGAAACCCTCAAAGAGGGAAACAAGGAATTATCTCATCTTAAAGATTTGAGTTTGAAGAAAAAAATATATTAATTAGAAGTAAAGGTGGCCAACTCAGTCATTCTACTTTTAATAGATGGTGATGATGCTTCTCACCTGTAGTTGCTCAAGAAAGTTTGTCCTTTGGATTATTATTTCTTACCCTCACTCTTTTGCTCAGCTCCAACTTTCAACTGACCACAGATTCATGGGAAGGCTGGCAGAGCTCAAATTAATTATAAAGGCAAAACCCCGGTCACGCCCATGTATGGTATACATGCCAAAATAGATTTGTTATTTCAGAAGCACTAATTAAATGAAATGCATAAAACATACCTAGATAAAAGGGATGCTAGGAATGTACTCTGACCTGCATCCCAGAAGAAAGAAGAAAGTGATCCTCTTAGGTCACTTATCTATTGATCAAAGTCCAAACTAGAGCAGTACTGCATTACTGGGTTTTAGAAAAATTAGGTCCCTTTTTTGATGTTGCACCAAGTGCCTCATCCAGGCAGCATGGGCTGTTTGCCATCACTGTTTAATAGAATCTTACTCATGTGTCTGGATCATTATTCATATTAGATTACAGATCAAATGTTTGTTGTCTAACAAAGCCCTGCTTCCGTCTGTAAGGCAGGACTTCTTGATAATTACAGGATGGCAGCCCTTTTAATTGTCTTGTTTATTTTTACATAGAAAAAGATGGCTCTGCTATTTCAAATACTTTCCATTCCCCTTTCATTTAGCTCTAGCTCACCTGGAGACATTCTCCATAAAATAATAGTACTAAAGGGGTTAGTCTTTGCCGATCTCTTCTTCAGCTCTTGCTGGTAAGTTTTAGACTTACTTAAAGTAGTTAAAGTCTTATTAACTGGATTTATGAATTATTAACTCTCATGATAATGGTTATGATGTCCAAGGGAGGAAAGTCTATTTAACTTAAAAGGTAGACTATACAGAGAAAGTGGCCATGTTAAAAAAAATTTCTTAAAGTAAATCTATAATGACAGCAGAAACTCACTCTTATGTAATCCAAATGAAGAATATAAATGAGCCCATAATAAAGCATGCAATATATAGTTGTCAGGGCCCAAGACAACCTGCACCGCAATGTCCCACAATGGCATACTTATTATTTTGAGTTAAGTTACTTACTTAAGAAACTGCCAGGGCAAGAACATTGACCTCTCTCTGTCCCCCTCAAAATGGGAGATAAATCTTCCAGGTGAAAGGTGGCCTACCTACACCTGCAGGTGGAGAATTCCTATGTCATTAGAATTAAAGAATCCAGAGCGAAAGAGTCTGTATAAACAAACCTTATTGCCTCTTTATTAATTTACTACCCAAGCCCACATTGTGTTTAGATTCCTCACTAATAAATACCCAATCCTTGCTTAGATTCCTTTCTAATAACACTAACTTTTCTTGTTCTGTCAATTCTTCACTAATTTATTGTTTCTTTGTCTAAAAAGTATAAATGTCTGCTTCCATCCTTTCAGCCTCATTTTATGATCTGAACGCCATATTATTACCACCCATGCACATGTGTTACATTGGTTTTTCTCCTGTTAATCTAGCCTTGTATTAATTTTATTATTAGTCCGACTGTAAGAACTAATAAAGAAGGATAGAGAGGTGAGAATTCTTCCCTTTCTCTGATATAGTCTATTATATGTCTAATTTGAAAGAGTTTTATTGATATGTGATATGTATTTTTATATCTAGAATAACTTGATACTGGCCAGGATTTAACTCTATCCCATATAAGCTGGCTAAAGTTTGCTTCTGGCATTAGCTTACTCTGCACTTTTGAATTGCTGTGATAATTCATATAAGTCTAGAGCTTAAAGTAAAAAGCAAAAACCAGGTTAGGATTAATTGGAAACAGATGGATCCTATAAAGGTAGAAGGGGACTAACATTTGTTGTATAACAAATATAGCATTCAACAACCCTTTTATATATACTAGCTCAGTATAATGGATTTTGTCTGGATACTTATAATAAATCTCTATATAATGTATAATACATAATGTCTCATTAATGGAATTTCCCTGTCTTTTGTTTACTGACTTAGTGGAAGAGTCAGAAACGTTTGTGTTTGAATCTCAGTTGCAACCTTGACAAAGTAATTAATTTCTCTGATGAACAAATCTCTCATCTCTAAAATGAGAATATAATTGCAACCTCGTCGGTTAAATGTAATCTTGTATATGAAACCCCTGAAGCAAAGTCTGGCACATTCGCATGCTCTCCAAGAATAGTTGCTATGATTGTTGTGGCTGCTGTTGCTAAAGATACACTGCTGTCACACCGCCCTTCAATCTCAGGTCCAAAGTCAAGTTCAGAGCAGCTGATCTCTTATACACGTAGCTCTCACTTCAAGGTGCACAAACTACCACCCTTCAGCTCACTTTCTCACATTCAAAAATAGAAACTAAAACACTGATAAATATCACAGAAAGATTAAAGGAAGAAACTATAAGTAATCATTCCATTTTCTTTTGTGTCTTCTAGTAAAGAGACTGCTGTCAAGATATTTAAGCCTATGAAACAAGTAAACACTGAATGCTCACACTTGGTGATCTAGCCACATATCAGCAAATTCCCTTTCTGAAGTTTTAATACAGTCTCATAATTGCATCATCTGGTGTCCATTGCTGAATTTTTTAAAAGAAAAGCTTTTTATTTTGGAATAAATTGAGATTTACAGAGAAGTTGCTAAGATACTACTGAGTGTTTCTGTATACTCCTCACCCAGTTTTCCCCATTGTTAAACATTTTGCATTATCATTGATATTATATTACCAATGAAACTGATATTGCTTTATATTACTATTAACTAAATTCTGAATTCTCTACTCCAGAATCCAATCCAAGACATCACATTGCATTGGGTTGGCATGTCCCCTAAGTCTTCTCTGGTCTGTGACAGTGTCTCAGTATTTCTTTTTCTTTTCTTTTTTTTCTTTTTTATGACCTTGATGGTCTTGAGAAATACTGGCCAGGTATCTTGTAGAATATCCCCTACTCTGGCTTTCTCTGTTGTATTAATTAAAC